TCCTCTCCCGGGATCCGCCAGGAATGAAGGCGTCGAGCGGGAGGACCCATCTTGGGAATAATCAGTTCCCCGTGGCGGTTTCAGATGTGTTTTATCTTCACCCCGCAGGTGCCCCGTTGGTGAAAGCCCTCCCGGTCAACCCCACGGATCCAGCTGTCACCGGCCCTGATATATTTGCCAAGCTGGTGCCCATGGCTGCCCACGAGGCCTCTTCCCTGTACAAGTGCGTCCCGGGCTGCCGGGCTGCGGCACGGGAGGGCACAGCTCCGGCCGGAGCAGGAGAGCCAGCCAGCTGCCTGCCACAGCGCTCACGGAGCTGCGGATCTCCGGCACCAAGCTCAACAAGGAGCCCGTGCCCGGGCGAGCCCTGCTGCAGGCTGAGGGGAGCTGGAGGGGACCACGCCAGCCGCAGTGGTTTCCTTGGGGAGCCGCCACCTTCCCTAAACGTCCCCGAGTCGTCCTCGTGTCCGGCTCCTGTCCGTTGTCTTTCCAGGCAGCTGGAGCTGGCCTTGCTGCCCCAAATGGCCGCGGGCAGCAGGCCCAGGATGGCTGAGGCTCCAGACAATTCCTGTAGATCTTGGAGCGCTTGTGATTTACGGTGGAGGCTTCCCTACTGCTGGTTCAGCACTAAAGGATTTTTTTTTTTTTTTCTCTCTGTCGTAGCGAGGAGAAGGCCAAACTGCTGAGAGACGTGATGGCGAAGATCGAAGCCAAGAATGAAGTGCTGGAGTACGTGCGAGCCGTACCGGAACGGGGTCCTGGCCAATTAATTCCTCCCTGCTGGAGACGCAGGCAGCGGCTGGGGCTCCCTGCGGCCTGGCACAGGGGTGCCCCAATTATCCCCTCACTGGGTTTCCCGGTGCCGACGGCAACACGGACATCCCTCATCTGTCACCCTCATGCTGAGCACGGCCACGTCCCCGTTTGCCCAGCTCTGGGGCACACCCCGTGTCCCCCAGCGGGTTCCAGTCGCAGCCACCGCTCCTCAAATTTACCCTGGGGCTTTGCTT